ATCCCTTAATCTCTGTAACAAAAAAATATAAACTGCCATGAAAGTCATGGGCCAGTGAGAAAAATGATTGTTTTGCGNGTCCGACGGAGAATTAAATTCCCCATCAATCGATCGCCGTTGCATCCCTTAATCTCTNCACTGTGCGCCGCGAAACTATTATTTTTCTCACTGGCCCATGACTTTCATGGCAGTTTATATTTTTTTGTTACAGAGATTAAGGGATGAAAGAAGGTTAATTGATGGGGAATTTAATTCTCCGTCGAACTGCTGTTTTTATCCCTTAATCTCAATTAGGAGGGGAGAGGTGAATTTTTAATTCGCGGGCGAATTGTAAAAAGTCAGTGTGCGCCGCGAAAAATTATTTTTTCTCGCATTCAGTCCGTGATGTTCCACAGGCTCGTGCGCGCATGCGCAAAGGGTCGCAACAATGCTGTAGTGAGTGGGAGCGAGACGGAGACTTCTCTCTCGCACAAAAGGTTCTCATTCCCGGCGCCGGATTCAGGGGTTGGACCTGGAAAATTGCGTTTAACTTTGAATCCATAGGAGATTCGCGGGTACGATCAANCAGCAAAAAAATACAAACTACGACAAAAACCATGGGCCAGTGAGAAAAATAATTTTCTTCTCGGCGCACAGTGACTTTTCACCNTTCGCGGGTACGATCAAGACAAAATTTGTGGTAAATGTTCTAATAAAAAATATGGAAGAAAAGGGGGTTCCGTTATGGCAGTTTTATAGTACAGACGTGTGTTTGTTGTGTGTGTCAATCTTTTGTCTTTAATTGGTGTTACGTGGTGCTCATTGTTTTCCTGACTTAAGAACTTTACGCAGAAAAGTTCCCTGGGCATTCTGAGATATTAATTTGAGTTGCCGGCTCACGTTTTATTACAAATTTTTGGCTTTTTCTGTCCTCATAAACCTAGAGAGGTTATGTTATCTGTCACAAAATAAAAACAAAAATAATCCGCTAGAAAAGGCGGGATTCGAGGCCCTGTTTTACCCTCTGGTTTCGCCACATGCAGCGTACCGCCATCTCTGCCGCAAAGTTGCCATTAACACCCAAGAGTCGACCCTCGATCGGTACAAGCAAAGCCAACTTACGCGACCGTTGGTCTGCGTCAAACACCCCTGACGCGCCAATCCCCAGAGGTGAAGTTTTGAAAGGAAGACCGCCAACAGCGACTACCTGGTCCAAATATAGAGACCCTTCTACACCATCCCTTAGTGATCTCCACAGTAAACGTAAGAGAGATACTGGCGCCGAATCACCCGATTCTAACGAAATCCTGAAACTTGGAAAATCTGGCTTGGACCTCCTCCTGGATGATCAGGACTCCTCATCCAACCCAACTATCTCATCAAACCCTTGCAATATGGAGCTGGATTCTACCCCTCACCTGCACCAGCCCGCTCCTCAGATCCCCCTAGCTCATCCCACCCTTCCACACCCTACCCTCCCAGCATCTGTAAATTTTCCCATGGCCAGCCTCTTCGGCCTCAAGAAGAAATAAAACTTGTCGGTTTGACCATAGCCTTCTGGAACGTGACTGACTTCTCCCACCTGGACGATCTCATCTCTTCAAATCTGGCTGACATCAATGTATCTCGGAAACCATGAAGCTGAAGCCCCCCATGCCATGCCCCAAATTTCTCGATGATTTTAACTGTTTTTGGTCTGACGCTACTAAAGATAAATCTCGAGGTAGAGGCAGTGGAGGAGAAACTTCAGAAATTTCAGGCTGTGTTGGAGACCCAGGTTTACGCTCCATCTCCTCATTGCCTCGTCAACCCTGAAATTCTTCATTCCGAAATCGTTGGTGCTATTTGGACAGCAGCTGAGCAATCTGGCCTGATCTTCTCTGCTAAATCCCGTCCCAGGGCTGGTCTTTCTGGCCTGGCAACCACAATCCATAAACCATGGTTCAATGGGGAGTGCTCCTCGCTCAAACTTCAACTCAAAGCAGCCTCAAGAGCCTGCTTTTCTTCCAAATGTGCCCCCGAAGACAAGGCTGCCCTCATTTTTGCTAAGAAAAGATTCAACGCAGTCACTTCAGCCAAGAAAACGGCCCATGAACGTCAGTTAACAGATGGTCTTGCAAATCTCTCTTTTCCCTCAATATTCTGGGCAGCAGTCTTGAGATGTAGACCGAGACTAGGCTTGAGGAATGCTCGTCTCCCGGTCAACGTCTGGAATGAGTTTTACAGGGATCTCTACCCACCTCGACCCGATGAGCCATTCATTATACATGAGATATCGGTTGCAGAACTTGACCACCCATTTACCCTACTCGAAATTAACAAAGGTATTAAAAACTTGAAGACAAACAGGGCCCCTGGATCCGATGGAATCACGAATGAGGCGCTCAAAGCTCTCACTCCTTTCTGGGTCTCCCAGATGTTGACTCTTTTCAATAGTACTCTGGATCTCGGCCAGATTCCCGAAACCTGGTCAAACATCATCATGCCATGCTATTCAAAAAAGGTGACAGACTCGACCTTGCCAACTACCGAGGCATTGCTCTTATCAACACCACCACGAAACTCTTCACTGAGTTAGTGAGGAAAAGGCTGGAGTCTTGGATTGAGGCTAGAGGCATTCTTCCTGAGGTTCAACACGGATTTAGGCGTGGCCGAAGTTGTACGGACGCAATCTTCACCTTTCTCTCCGCTGTTCATCTCCAACTGAGACTCGGGAAGAGGGAAGTCTATGCTGTGTTCATTGACTTTGGACGTGCCTTCGACAGTATCCCTCATAACCTGCTGTGGCGGAAACTGCTGGACCTGGGCATCAGCTCCAAGATCGTCCGAGTACTTATTTCAATTTACTCCCAGGCAAATCTCCAGGTCAGGAGTCACGGTCTTCTCTCCGACAAATTTGAAGTCACCGAGGGACTTCTTCAGGGTGAGACTCTCAGCCCCTTATTATTTCTCCTCTACATCTCCGATTTCGAGTCGTTTTTCCGAAGTCGTGGTCACAGGGATCTCAACATAGACGGCCAATCTGACATCTTGCTCCAACTCTTCGCAGACGATGCTGTTTTTCTGGCCGATTCCCACCTCCGGCTCAAGGCTATCCTTTCAACACTCCATGAATACTGTGAATATAAGGGCCTTACCGTCAACACGTCTAAAACTCAGATTCTGATTCTGAAAGAGGCTGGGCCCCCCGGAGTATTGTCCGCTCCTACAATTACCTGGGCGTTCGTATCTCCAGCACAGCCAGGAGTAAAGAATCGTTGGAAGCCTCGATTGGCAAGGCCAAGGCGGCCATCTCAAGCATTCTATCCATCGTCTATCGCTCGAAATGTGACAACTGGTCATCCTTCTCGAAACTCTTCGATAGCCTAGTGGCCTCTACACTTATGTATGTCCTCCCAGCTTGGGGCATCGGGCATATCTACGATATCGAGACAGTGCAACTTGATTTCCTGAAACGCCTGCTATCACTCCCCAGAAATACTTCCAACTGGGCAGTCAGAATGGAGACGTCGTCGATTCATCTGGCCTACAGGGCCATGTATCAAATCTGGAAATGGTACATCGGAATCCTAAAATTGGGCGATAACCGTCTACCAAAGATCTGCATGATGAGGTCACTCGAACTGGCTAAGACCATCGATGCTCCTTCTGCCTACAATTGGTTCTCCCACATGAAGCACTTCCTGATGGTCCACGGTGCCGAGGACCTGACTGAGAATATGGACCCTGCTGAATGGACTCGTCATACTCCAGAGATCTTCACCAGCTTCGAGCTGTACTTACGTAACTTAGACGAAGTTCCTTGAAATTTCCGTATTACGGCAATGCGATAAAAATTCCCAAAAAGTGTTCCCGGAATTTCCGCGAAAATATTACCGAAACCTACAGACATTATTCCTGAATTCAAGACTTTCCTTTGATTTTCAGATTGTCAGAGTGGAATTCCCCGATTTTTTTTCACTCTCGATTAATTTTTTTATGTCGCGCCGTGCAATAAGTCGAGTTTATCGCACGCTGCACTTCGCGCAGCCTGCTCAAAACTCGACTTCTGCACGACTTGACATAAAATATTATAGAGCACTCGGTAATAAATTTCGTTTTCAACGAATGTGTGTACAGACCTCGCCTTCGGCTCGGCCTGTAAACTACACATTCGTTGAAAACAAAATTTGTGCCCTTGTACTCTAATGTACTATAAAGATTCAAATTGATACTTGATTCATTCACATCGTTCCATTTCATAGGGAGATATTGTCGATTGGAGACAATTTTTTATGATCACTGAAGGAGGCAAACCATTCATCTAAATCTCGCAATAATCTGCGAAAAATCTTATTCATTAATCTATTATTATTGAATTAATCCCATTATGTGTAGATCGCTGGAGAACAACGAAAACGTTCCAACCGTTGAAACGAGTCGGAATGTTTTCTCTCTCCTTCTCCATTTTCTTTCTCACTCGCACTTGTTAAGTTTGGCGGAGGACGGGCACGTGCAAACGCGACGGAGACGACAATGAGTGGGAGCGAGCACGATACATATATAATCGAACATTACTGTAGTAAAAAAAAAACAAAATCTGCACAATTATTCAATAGAATCACTGGAAAACTATAGAATTTTCCAGCGACAGCGCTGGGAATTTCTATGAATTTTTTGACCTACGTGTCAATAATAAATATGTCCAGAAAAAGGAAAAGGAACTTTGGGAACTTTTAGATCATTAGATTCTGCATTCATTATACTATTGATTATAATATGTTCGATTTTACATTCCTGACAATTATTACAAAATGCGAGGAGCTACCGTATTGAGAACCCCTTTCCGGTTATGGACAAATTTATACTCGGGCCCTACCATACCAACAGTTCCGTACGCTCCATCGTAGTCCATGCGCCACCGCTACGAATTTTGCTGTTGAACACTTTACATTGGCCCTGCTCATCTCCCCTATAATCTCTGATATACATGCATATGTGGCCGTGTTCTCCTGTCACTTTTCCTTGCCGTTGGAGAGGCATTAAGAGGCATTGTTTTTCAACTGCGCGTATCTTATGTGTTGCTCCCAGTGCTCATTTCAAGTTCATTTTGTTTTAATTATTTAGAACAGTATGTAACACATTTATTGACCATTAGAAGTTTGTTGTGACGAGTGTTAATGCATTAATTCAGTTATTGAAAAGATTCATCGAGAAATAACTCAGTTCTATTTGTCACTGATCTCAGTTCTGCTGTAACTATTTTTGAGGTTATACATTGATTTTTTTATTACTATTCATAATAAACTTCAACGTTTGACATTATTCACATATTAGTGACGTATTTGGGTTCAATGTTGCTAGTGGATGGTTTAGAATAGTTACACTTGACTGGGAGATTATCTTGGGGCTCGGAGATGTTTATTTTATGAACAAAGGGAGAAATATTCTCGAGGTAAAAATGTGGGAAATTCTGTTGGCATTGCCTTTGTATCTGAATGGACTATTAATAAAAGATCCATTTACGGACTGTTTGAATCACGAGAGTGAGTTAAGAGAACATTGTCTCAATCCAGTATCTGGTTCGGAAGGTTAATCATCGGAGGATACTCTCGTGATAGATAAATGACTTATGGAGAGGTGCGATCCCGATAAGCCCAAAATTCTGACATTCAATTATGCAGCAAGAAAAAAATAATGAAAAAACTTTATTGATCCTAGAAATCCATCTTTTATATTTTTTCGTTTAATTCAATCTTAGTGATATTCCGAAAATAATCTGCCCATTGTATAAGCTCTCAAATTTCTAAAACCAATACACTATTGGCAATTTCTTGAAATTTAGGTAACAGCTAGCATTGGAATTGTTCATGTTGGGGATTTGAAATGACTTTAATATCCAACAAAATTGAGTTTGTTCTATTAAGAGATAACAGATATCTTGCGACCACAGATATTAAGCGATTTTCAATGACAGCTTGAATTTTCAAACACATTACAAAAATTGAACATTACATTCAATTTAACTTTCAAAAGATTGAGCTTTCACCATGTTCAGTAAATGTATTGATTGCATGGACCTGAAAAGTAAAATTTCGTTGAATATTCCAAAAAACACCGATTTTGACACTAACAACATATATAGAAATTTCATGTGAATTAGTAGTTAAAAACTTTAAGATTTTTCATTGGAAATTTGAAGAGTAATTTTCAAGCGGTATGAATATTCGGTTTATGTCCTCTCTAGAACCACTAAGTAACCAGTGTTTCTCCATCAAAAGGAGGATCACCCCATATCCCATCTCCATCAGTTTGTCGAAAACTGTCATGTGGATAATAAACAAACCCCAACAATCTAATACCATGGATCAACTGTTCGACGAGATAATCAAGGAGTGCACATTCGCAGTACCAGGTGCACGTCTATCCTACGCTGTCCGTAACAAATTAGAGAAACACAAGAAATCTGTGCGACGAGAGATAGTAAGCCGCACCAAAGACGACTGTGCACCTCTCTTCATCGCTTGCAAAAGAGGCCACGTAGAAATTGTTGAATACCTGATAACAGTATGTAACGCTGACATTGAACAACGTGGCCTTTATGAGGTGCCTGATGACAGATCAGTCCATTGTGTGACTCCACTTTGGTGTGCAGCAGTTGCTGGAAAATTGCCTGTGATAAAGTGTCTGATAGCTCATGGCGTTGAGGTGAATGCAGTCTCTGACACTGGTTCTACACCAGTCAGATCAGCCTGCTTCATGACCCATCTCGATATTGTTGAATACCTCGTTGAGAATAGAGCTGATATACTACGTGCTAATTACAATGGGGGAACGTGCTTGATAAATTCAGTTCAAAGTGTCGAATTGTGTACATATTTATTGAGACACGGTGCTGATGTCAATGCAAGAGACATCCAAAATAAGACTGCTTTACATTACGCAATTCAGGAGCATAGATTTGAAACGACTAAACTATTCTTAGAACACAATGCAGATCCACACTTAAAGTCTAGGTATGTGATGTTTGTTATTTTAATTAGATATACCTTATTATTGTCCTTGCGGGCATAACGAGTTGTCAGGTTGACCCTCAAAGTAGATGTCTGTACATTGGATTGTAGTAAGCTTGCTTAGGTTGGGAAAAATCGACAGGAGATTTACTCCTTTTTTTAATTTTGCTATCTAATTTGAATATTGCCTTTATTTTCCCCATTTGAGCTTGGAAAAGACTTTACTATAAATTTTATGGAAATTTAATAGAATTGGTCAATAGTTAAGTCAACCTATAGTATGGTCTTCTTCATGCTCAACAAATTGCAAATGAAAAAGAAAAAGTGGACAAACTTCGGAATAAGCAGCGTCATTTAAATTATATTTTACAAGATTTTACGTTCTCCATCTCCAACATCTTCTTTTGCAGAAACATTGAAAATTGTTTAAACTTTCAGAAATTTTCTTTTTTAAACGGATTTCTGATAATATTCGGAATGTGGAAAAATTAGTTACAATTTCCAAAAAAAAAACATTTTTAGGGTAGAAAATTGATTGTCTATAGTTTATTTATAAATAATGTCGACGTTTTAATTGTTTTAGCATTCGAAAATAGTTTACAATCATGAATACTCCAATACTTTTCAATTCAATTAATTTATTAAAGGCTCCAGGCAAGAACTCTTAATACATTCTATCGATATTTCATTTCATTGTTTCATTATTTCCTTTGATATTCTCCATGACATTCCACGCGTGTTAAGACAAAAATAATTTGAATCACGTTGAAATGATAATGTTATTGAACATTATCAAGATATGAATTTCATATTAATTTCCGTAAATGAAAATTTTCACCAAGAGAATGTAAATATCTCGTAAATATGTATACATTACTACATTTATCAAATTGTCATGAACTCATGCGATTCTGCCATACTTGATAGGTACAATGATGATGCCCTGCAGACGGCTTGTCTTAAAGGAGCAATACAGATTTTCGACTATTTGGTAGAAAATGTCTCGTACTCACAGGAGAGACTGGCGAATGCTAATGAATTGATGGGCTCAACGTTTTTCGATGAACATGGGGATATTGCAACAGCACTGATCTACTGGAGGAAAGCTATGGGGATCAGGATGGAGAACATGGAGGAGGGACAGGTGCTGGAGAAGAAGCCTATCATGCCGAAAAGGGAGAGCTTCAGGAATGCTGTGGAATTTTCCACTATGGACGAACTCAATGCCATTGCTTTCGATCTGGATGCAATTAGAATACAGAGTTTGCTGATTTGTGAGAGGATACTTGGGGAAAATCACAAGGACACACTTTATAGGCTTATGTACAGGGGTGCTAGTTATGCTGATGCGTTGAGGTATCAGAACTGCATCGACTTGTGGAGGAGGACCCTAGAGATTAGGGTGGAAAGAGATTCTGTAAGTTGATTTTTTGAATTTTTCAGATAATTAAGTTTTTAAAGTGGAGATGGCATTAACAGAATTGAGAAATTTTGGTTTTGTTTGACTTGTCTATTCTGGGATTGAAGAAGAGATAGAATGGAGATGAGTTCAAAATGATTGTGTAGATTTTTTTTTATCATGGATGTGTAGATAATTTTCCCTTTTTTTATGATAATGTTCATAAAACATTATTCAAAAGAGAGATATAGAAATGATACTTGATGAAGTTCAATGCTCATTTGGTTATAAAGATCTTTATAGAATTGTTAACGATGTAGTCTGTATTTGACTTTTCAACTCTGTGTATGTAATTGAGGCGTTTTTAGCAATATTTTTGCAGTGGTAAGATTCATGAAAAACAAGACACCACATTTATCATAATAAATTTCGAGGGCTCGGCGGCTCAGAGATATTTATGAAATCGTTGATAATTACTTTATGAATATTATTGGAGTGATGAGGGTTTCAAGAGTTCATTAAAGAAAACTTGTAGGAAATTTTAAAAAATAATAAAAAAAATTCTTAGTGATTATCCTGTACAGCTATTAGTTTTTGAAATATATTCGGGATAATCACGAGTCCATTTTTTAAATTGTCTTTGTTCATCATTAAGTTGATAATATTCATTTCTAAAAATAATAATTGATAGAGGCTACTAATTGAAGAATTCAAGAATTGATATCGATTTCCGGCCATTGAAAGGAAAAGAAATTGCCATCGAAAAATGGAAATTCTTGAAATTTTAATGTTTATACGAAGATGGAGAATCTTATTTCGATAATTAGAATATTCAATCAGATGGATCAATTTATTTTTCATTTCTACAGATTTTATACACAGATACATGTTTTACTGCTCAAGCTCTGGTTAGAATAATGGTTGATTTGAATGAAGCGACAACAGATCGAATTCGTGATAAGGACGAGCCAAGATTCTGTGATGTAGTTGCGGTATTTAAATTACTCACGAGCCAGCTGTGCGAGGCTAGAGAAATACTCGAGGTAATTTGCGATAAAATGAGGCGAAAAAAAGAACCTAATGATATTGGATTTTTTTTTTCACAGAAGCGTCCAGTGTATAAACGCCACCAGGACAGTTACGATCGTATCTTGAAGTGCGTGACTCACTTGATTTACCTTCTGGTAGAGACCGCTAGCACGAACGAACAGAAGGCTGAAGTTCATCAACTTGCCCGTGAGTTAGTTGGAAGAAATCCCAGGTCCGCATCAACAGGGGATAGTTTGCTACACCTTTGCGTTTCTAGTTTGAATTCTATAACTTCTAGTTACTTCACTTCTGACGAAAAAATGGTTTGTATTTCTTCCTAACTTCAAATTCGAGTTTTATAATCAAGTAAAACGAAATTAGTTTATGAGTGTATTGACAAAGTAATGAACAAAAAAATGAAATGAGTTCAATCCCACAGTTTTGTTGATTGTAATATATCTAAAAAACAATTGATTCTAGGGTAATATTTCAAAACTAATTTTTTGCCGCTGGCTTGAATCGCCAACAGAAAATTGTCTTCTAATATTTTCTCCTAAAATCACTCATTATTGAGATGATCAAGGGTTTGCATGAAATTGGATGGCAAGTATCTAAATTTGAGATGATTGGAAACGTCTGCCTTTATGATGAACTTTTTAATTTTTCATGATTCTTAGGATAAAAAAAATCCGCTATTTCCCATTCAATTTTCATGTTTTATCATTTTATTCATTTAATTGAAAAATGTATGCAATAACGGAACTTTATAGTTTATAAAATGGAAAATATCTAACCATCATGTTTTATCTTATTTTATACTAAATTATATTCAAAATGAACGAATGAACGAGTGAATTCACAAGAATTTATCAGGATACCTTTTTTATACTTAACAAAGTACTCGGACCGACGTCGGTGGCCGAGTGGATTAGACGCAAGTCTAGTGTGCGAAAGGTTCTTCTTCTTCTTCTTCGATTTTTCTGGCACTGACTGTACAGTCTTGCGGCCGTGTGCGAAAGGTTGTGAGAGTTCGATTCCCCGTGGAACCGAATTTTTCAACGGAAGGCTCCGGCGAGCGGGAGGTTGCTAATAGAGGGACCGCCTGTACCGGCATGGGTTTTCTGTGGTTTCTTCATGCTACTTCTATGTTCTATAGAAATGCGCAAAGAGGATAGACCTGAGTAGAGGCCCGGATCGGGGGGTTTGACTGACTCCAAAAATGTTAGTTGGTACCCCACGGAAAAGGCGGCGTCCCGGTCGAATTGTCGGTAAATGTGAGTCGGGTGCGTGAGTAACTCGGGAGTAGCAGTCCCGCTGTCACAGGGACAGGTTCGGAGGAGGACTTTTGTCCTCCTTGTACTCAATGTTTTTCTTTGTTTTTCAGTTGATTTATTCGCCGACTAATTAATATTAAGGGATGAAACAAAGACTGTTCAATGGAGAATTAAATTCGCCATCCATCAACCCCCGTTTCATCCCTTAATCTCTGCAATAAAAAAATTAATATTGCGATGAATGTCACGGCGCTATAAGAAACCCAATGTTTTCTCGGCGCAGAGTGACTCCCCAATAATTCGCCCGCTAATTAAAAAATCGTCTCTCCCCTCCTAATTAACAATAAGGAATGAAACCAATGCTGTTCGATGGAGAATTAAATTCCCCATCCTTCAACCTCCGTTTCATTCCTTAATCTCTGTAATAAGAAAATTGATATTGCAACGAAAGTCGCGGCGCTATGAAAAACTCAATGGTTTCTCGACGCA